ATTTATTGATTAGATACAAAGCTCCAAAGTTCATTAAAATTTCATTATCGAGATGCGTCAAAATTGCCCTATTTTGGCCCTAAAGTTCACCCCCCTGAAACTAAGCTTAATTACGTCGACATTCCAAATAAAATGCATTTTGGTACTACCCATGGGGTGGGGTTTCTACGCATAAAGTTTGGAAGAAATCCGTGATGTGGTCAAAATTGGTCCTGAGGTTATTACAGAGACAGCCTCTTAATATTGATTAATTTTAGAGCAAACACAGGAAAAACATGAATTAAAATCAAACTAAATGCTAACAAATAGTGACTATTTAGAGACAATTTGTCAGTATCAATGAACCAGAAAACAATGAAGATGAATCCACATGGGACCATTAATAATTMATCTATATTGCATTCTGGTTCATTGATATTGACAAGTTGTTTCTAAATAGCCATTTGTTAGTATTTAGTTTGATTTTATTTCATATTTTACCTGCATTTGCTCCACTACATTGTTGAAAAGTTTAAACCATGGTTCATGTTGTAATTTGATAATTTTATTAATGAAGGTCTTTGTTCAATAAAATTCTGTTCAATAAGTATACGTTGTTCTTTACTTGACAAATATTACAGTGCTTTTCATAAACATGAAATTTCCCACTTGATTACCACAAATTACAGCTATACAAAGGCCTGGGGACATTCACAAATGAACCTCAAAACCATTCACTGTGCCAACATTGTACATCAGCAAATAGAGTGGTTCTCATTAACCCATGAAACAAAATGTAATAGTCAAAGTGTAATAGACAAGAAATACTAGAGTGGTTCTCAATAACTCATGAAACAAAGTGTAATAAAGTGCAATACCCAAGAAATATAATAGAAAACAAAGGAGACAAAGTGTAAAAAAGTGTAATACGCTAAAGTGTRTTTCACGGGTTAATGAAAACCACTCTACTAAATTATTTACAGTGGTATCAAAATGATCCAGTGTCACTAATGCACAAGGAAGCCCATGTAAGCGCTCACTGAGCGTCTAGTTTTAAGATGCTTAACTGAAGATGTTTAACTTTTTGTAGCAATTGAAGTTTTACCACAAAACAGCAAAGTTGTCTAAAAGATGTTTTGCTRAAGTGTTGGAGATTGGAGCGAAAATGAAGGAAACTAACCTGAACCTAGGCAGTTCCTCAAAGTGCACTCAATCGACATTCAAGGACATTCTCTACAATGTATCGSAGGAAGACCMGTACCGAACTCTCGATGCTATGTGTAAAGGGAAKTTAAAATTGACAGAAGTTAGGAGAAAAAAGGTATTTTTATCCAACTTATTTTTTAATTATAAGTTATATTTGCCTGCTTTTTGTCGCGTATTACCGATTGTATAATTTTTATAGGCTTACAAAATTAGTTATCACTGAGTACTTTTTTATTTTGTTGTAAAAGATATCTGAAGACCAAAAAAAAGTTGTGTCGGCTAAAAACGAGGTATGCTTATTCATATACTTTTATTCAGACACWAACAAATTAGCAAAAGAAGGAAAACGTTTTCTGTGGTTTCTTAAAATAGGCTGAAGAGCTTCGCCTAGATTTGGATGATTTTAGAAACAAGAACGTCGAATTAAAGATTAATTTAGAAGACGAAAGTTGTAAGGCATTATTAAATGTATTGTATCTTATGTCTTAAACGCGACGGTTAATCTATCGTTAATCTGTTAATCGCATTAAGTAATTGCACGAATTCTGTGATTCATTCCACACACAGTCCATAAAAGAATGCAAAAGCATCAAAGACAAAAACAAAGAGCTGTCTATCGCCAACAATAAAAATGAAAAGGTATGCATGGATAGTGGAACTTATAACGCTTATGATAACAGCGCTATTGATGCCATATTCCATATCTCATGTGTACTTGCTTTTTAATATAGGTAATTCGAGAACTGCAGGCAAAGATTGAGAGACTTGAAAACGAAGTTATCAATTGGAAAGATCTATATTTGGATGCAACAGTTTTAATGCAAGCCAATTTCATAAAAGAAAAGGTATTCGAAAAAATTAGCTTTGATAGCACAATGAGCACTTAATTGTACTAAACCATTTTTATTAAAACTCTTTTATAGACGAAAAAAATCGTAAGGGAGAGAATGGAGTCAAGTTAAAAAAAGAAGAGTTGTGTAAGCTATTATGAAAGCGTATTTTCCATGTTCAGTAAATTGTTATATAAAACATTTCATTGAATGTTAAATTAGACATGGCAAATTCAAAAGACTAGGATGATTTGCTGGTAAGGACAAATGCATGCTCTCTTTAAGAAAAATAATGAAGTGTATTTTTGACAATCTATTGTTCAGTTTCATTATATATCAATGTGTTTCATTCTGTGGGTCTCAATCAAATATTCTATATACACCTATTTCAAAAAAGATTGTCATCGTCAAAGGCGATAGGCGATAGGTCATTCCAAGACCCAAGTGCACGATGGGTATAAAAGTACATAATAATAATTCACGTGCTTGAGTAACTGAGTAATGGCTGCGACTAATATCACTCTCCGTGTTCTGAATGAAACGAACAAAAAGAAGTTTAAGGCGTTTCAGTTAAAGAACGTTCCACGTTTTGACAACATAGAAAGTTTTAAAGAGTAGAGAGATTAAGCATGACGTTTACGGCATACGCCAAACGTCAGACTCGCCGTTTGCCGTTTGTTCTTGACGGTTACGTCATTAAGCATCGCGTTAACGGAGAATTCTCTAAGGACTGGAAACGAATCATTGAAAAACAAACATGGCGGCGAAGCGAAGGTATGATGTTTTGTATTTTTCTTTGAATTATCTTTAATTTAATTAGTTCACAAGCTGTAAATTGTATATTTCATATCAACAGAAGTTGTCTGTCTGCACAGGTATGAGTTTCTACAGATATATGCGGCAGAACAAGGCTCAGATACAGACAGTGACAGTGACAGCAGCGACGATGAATTAATAGATGGTTTGGAGCTAGCCCTCTTATCGACGATGCTACCACARTCTACAGTATTGGGTCCTCATTTGAATTATGCTGATGTAGAAGAGGATCGTTTTGAACATTTCTTCAGGTAACTGGGTATTTTAATTGAAGCCACGAGTTTCCATCTCTTATAAGCTTATGGATAGAAATTTAAGCTTAAGTTAACTTAAGCTTTTACATGTAAGTCTACTATGGTAGCGCAAAATTGTTTTGAACACATGTTAACTGGAGATATTTAGTATACTTTTCTGTGTGTAAGGTTTTTTTTCTTTTTGAAGTAGATTCCAGAAAAATGATTTCGAGAGACTGGTAGGAGCATTAGATCTGCCAGACTTCTACATCTGTCAACAAGAACAGTTTGCCCAGGTCCCGAGGCACTTTTAATCCTTCTCAGACGTCTATCCTATCCCAATCGATGGTGTGACCTTCAAGACATGTTTGGCAGATCTCAGCCAGAACTAAGTATGATATTCAATGAGGTATGATATTGAGAAAATATTGCATAACTTAATTCACAACTTCTGAGGCTATCTAACTTTTACCATTTTTTTAAACAAAATCATTAAAACAGATATGATTTGACACTCTAAATACAATAAAAAAAAGTCAATAGCAAAACAATTCTTTTATCAATGCAATGAATACTCTATAAATTATTCTGTGTAGTAATTGGCTTTATGATACATTGTAATTAGTACTTAACTTACTAGATCATCTTTGTACGCAATRATTGCAAGTATTGACAACATATATCTCTAACTAATCTAACAGATTCTGTCAGACATTTATGATCGCTACGGTTCACTGCTTGAGAGTCTTGATCTTGTGTGGCTTGACCCACAAACATTCTCTCATGCTATCTTTAATAAAGGTAAATGATAAGACAAACTTTTGAATTATCCATGCTCATACTCATATGACTATTGATAGTGTACTACATTTTTCCAAATCGAGACAATGTAATGATATTATGTAATTGTTAATAATATTGAATTATATAAGATTGTATTGATAAGATTGTATTGGTGCAAAACACTCAGTTTGCTGAAGAAGGCCGAAGTGCCAAAACGTTCTAATAAAGAGTAGAAATACTAGTTGCAAGTTGTGTCCCTTTTCTTCAATTTATTCAATTTAAGATTGTATTGATATNGAACTCAATTTGACATTACTCATCCAAGGTTATTGTTATATACCCATCTTAGGTTATAATTATGCTAATATATTACTATTATGTTATTGTACAACTGTTGCGCATGCGCGTAATAAACAGGCTTTCGACACACGTGTCAATCTCGTACCCAGAGCCGCCGTTCCTCTTGGTCAGCGCCGAGAAACGAGGGCTCTGGCATATTCCATATTTTTGCGAATTTTGATTGGCCGTCAGGAATTTGCTATTGCGCTTGCGCATCACTCCGGAAGTAAATTTCCACCAATAAAAAGGAGGCTTAGAGTAGGGCGGCAAAGCGGCAAATGTATTCCCGCGAAAAAAAAATAAACCACTTCAGCTCTCAATGCAATAGTGTACTTTATTTACCATAAGCATGGAGGAAAATAGTCCAAGGAAAGCTGTTACAACAAAAAGTCACAATACTTGTCGTCTTTGTAACAAAGAGTTAAATCATTTCAGAGTTTTTCTTTTTGGAAATAAGTCGCACAGAGAAGGAATATTGACATMTTTGAAGGAAATTTGTGATGCAGAAATACATCAAGATGATGGCTTTCCTAGTAGACAGTGCGCTTCGAATATTGTAGCTGTCAAGAGTTTGAAAAATGCAGAGTTTGAAATCACTTTACCATGAATCGGAAAAGCTAAGAAAACAAGAGAAAGAACGTTTTAAAAGGGCCAGAAAACCGGAAAGAACTTTCCTGCTTGCTCCCGTGGAACTGAACTTATCACCATCATCATTCCGAGCTAAAAAGAGGTTGAAAGAAAAACAACCAATACAGTTAGCTCCATCGTTTAATAGTAAATCGCCTTCCAGAGCTCAGTCTTTGCTTCAAATGTTTGAGAACGTTTCTGACATCGTTCCAATAACTGAGCAACAGCGCATTCTCCCAAAACCAAGCTCCGCGAGCGCCAAAAATACTCTGCGCTTTGAAGATGAAATTTCAACACACAGCACTGCGGCGAACGAGCATCCACAAGCACAGAGAGTCSTACCCGAGTCATTACGGCCAAAAGTGATCACTAGTTTAGAGTTGGGACTTGACATTCTGACAGGTKCTGGTTTGCGTAATAAAGAGGTATGAAAAGTACGCTCATTTCGATTATCTTCGCTTTATAGAGTGAAACATTGTACTAATTACTAGTAAATAGTGTTGATTATACAATAGGAAACAAAGGAATTTGTACAATTTACTTATAACCTATTTTGTAGTATTTATATTTCATGCATTTGGTGCGAGCACTCAGGTATTAAATGTGCATATACAATTGACAACAAATTAGTACTTGTTGTTCAAGCAAATTACACAAGATCATGCATGTGTTTTTGTCAACTGAAAACCCTAGCAAAAAGTCAGATTCTCAGTGTTTTCTAGCTTGTATTAATTAGACTAATYAAACTTTAATGCAAGTTACAATTTGGCTGAACATTAATAAACTAAATGAATTTATAGTGTTTTTTGCATATGTTAGGTTTCAAACTTGGGGAGCTGTCTTGATCACCAGCAAAAAGAGCAAATTTTTAGAGAAGTGATGAAAGGTTCTTCAAGCTCATTATCAAAAGTAATTATGGAAATTCCTCAACTTGCCAAATGTGTCAAGGGGCTTATCATGAGTAAAATTGATGACCAGTGTACTAACCTCTGCTCAAAGAAAAATCCATCTGTCCTTCGTGTACCACGACTTCATCATAAAGATATAGCAAAGACCTTCACATGGCCTGACATTTTAAAGGAAATGAGAGAGAGAGAGCCCCTGATGTACTTGACATACTGATTACAATAGGTGCCCCAAACATGAAACATGATGGGAGACAGGTTCCACCAATTTGTACAGCCTACTCAGTACTGATGAACACAAGAAATAGGGAACTATCTCTAGTTCAAAAAATGAATACTGTTATACTAGGAGCTGGTCATGCAACAGAGAAGGTTTGTATTACATGTCTGCAATCACTTAAATAACTTGTAACATCTTATAATAATTAATTAATTGATTAACCTAAAATCATAATTAATTATTTTCACTTTTATAATTTTAGACATTCCAAAGACTTGGGAAACTTGGAATCACACAATCAAGGGATAACTTTCGCAATCTTATGGATGATGTTGGAGGTGATTTTATTGAAGACATAAAGCAGATAGTTAAGAATACGAAAAAACTTCGAGTTGTGCATGACAACTTTGACTTTAAAGTTCTTGTAAATATCATGCTGAAAAATCACAGAAATTCTGATATGCACTGGATGGCACAGTACTGCACATTCGACAGGGTGTTGTCAAGTCACTTAGATGACACACGCCAACAAATACCTGATATTGAAAACAAAGAATATCTATTATCCCAAGATGAATTGCATAAAATGAAGTCAGACTTTACTATCCTTGTTGCAAGGGTACTGGTGGAATATTTCTCTTGTCTGGAGTATTTAAAGAAAGATGTGTGCAAACACATACCTCATAGGTAATATTTGACTTAATAACAACATGAAAGTAATTATTATACAGGGGTCCTGAAGGGACAGGAGGGATTCACAACAAATAAGAAGCAATAGAAAATTGGAATAGGATTTGAAATTGGAACAGAAAATGAGATAATCTGTGGGACTTGGTCAGAGTCTATCCAATTTGATTGAAAATTTCTTYCCACCATACCCTGGGGCATTTAAACTTTTTCAAGCTATTTTATCTTCAAATTATCTCAATCCTTTACACCAKTGCACAAGCWTTTTATTATCATATCAATTGATGCAAAAGTCAACACTGCTTTATAAACACAATGTTGCATGCTMATTTAATAATCATTTATAATTATCTGTTTCAATAAGGTATTCTAAAGAAATGTCCCAAAAGTCTACTATAATTGGCCTTCCAATTCTTCCTTACAACCAAGCAAAGGTGTCAGATATGTGTCAATATCTGGATCATACCCAAAGCTTCCTCTTAAGCACATTACTTGATAACCCACAACAATTTCCTCCTGGATCCACAGAAGAACTGGATTATAAAGAGGCCATTCTGAAAGATGTGAAACTACCAWTATGTGGGGATCTCTTGGGCCGTGAGAGAATAACCGGAGCTAAAAAGACCAGACTGGGATGTGACCGAAACTTTGAGCGGTTTAATAACATAATTGAATATCCARCCCTTTGGCRCACCAAGCAATCTTTCCTTGTGGTAGGACTTCATTTTTTWGCTTGTTATTCTTAAAATAAAATTAGAATATTGCCTTATTTATTTAAAGATAATTGATAATTAATTGATAATTAAGATAATTGCTTTTCAGCTACACCAGAGAGCAGGTATACAATAATAAATGTTAATTAGCTTGTAGTCAGTGCATAATAATATATAAATAGCCTGTGAACAGYCTCGGGGATGGTGGGAAGGTCAGCCCCTATAGCCTGTTCTCAGGTATAAATAAATGAAATCTGAAAAAAAGCAAGCATCAATATATAAATTGATTTTAAATTAATTACAAAATGCCAGAATTATTTCACTGTTCTAGTGCCATTGAAGTGCCATTTTTTATTGATTACTTAATAGTTTATATTAGACTATTTTCTTACAATACTGCTAATAAAAACTATTTTCAATTTAATTGTAGTATATATGGGAGCAACTCTACAAAACTTCAAGTGGRCGAGAAATTGGTACACTATTCCATCTAAGACAGCTGTTTAGAATGACTAATGTTTATACTTCAGTGAAAAAAAAAATACAAAAGTGCAGAAAATCTCATGCTATCAGCAACAAAGGCATACTTGTGTTGCGCTTTTATGAAATGGGCCGGCATCAAAGATCTGGATGGTACACCAACTAATTTCAAGCTTCCCATTAATGAAAGCAGTCACAATGGAAATGTCAACGTCATGGAATTTATTGGAAAATTTGTTGAAGAATATGTGCTGGTTGAATTTGACATTGAAGAGGCTTGGCGAATGCAGCATGAGCAACACCAAACTGCCAGGCAGCCTCATATACCAGTGAATCCACAATTCAAYYAACTTAAACCAGGTAGTTATAATTTATTTATAATGATAGCTGCAGTTCATAATAATAATAATGTTGATAATGATGATGGTGATGAGGATCATGATAATGATATATAATGATGATGATGATGATGATAATGGTGAAATTTAATAATCCCAATTATAAAAAAATGATAATAAATACATAATAATATTTAATAATAATGATGATGATGATAATAATAACAATAAAACATCAAAGAATTTTGCATTGTAATGATAAAAATCACATGAAAAGTAATTTTAATTTATGTTTTCAACATATAGGTGAAGCTGTAGTACTTGTTTACCCTAAGCCTGAAGGTGGATATAAAGTTGTAGGTGTTGGTCAAGTATGTGCAATGGAGCAGCAACAACAGACAGAAAGTCATATACCAGTTATTGTAATATCTGTCGAGCCAGATTCAGGAACATTTGTCATTTTAAAAGTTGGCCAAGTAAGCTTTTGGCCAAAGCCATGGATAGCAATTCCTGGAACTAGACCAAAGATAGAAGAAAAGAGAGAAGASAAGAAACCCCTGTCATCAGAAAAAACAATGTCAGATGATAAATTATTTAATTATGCTTCACAATGCATCCAACTAGGTGTCGTTCTTATGCAATTAAATGACACTGAAAAGGAAGGTGATGACTCACGAAGTTTATTGAATTGGAAGCTACTAATGCTCTATTTCAGAGCACGCCAAAGAGGTATGAAGTATGCATTTGAGGCGATGCGCTTTATCACGTGTGTTAAAGCCTTATATACAGAGAAAACCGCTCACCGTATAACACATGGACAATTTGTTAACTCGAAAGGAGGTGCAGGCAATAATTGTGCAAATGATCTCAAAATGGAAATGCTGGTTAAGAGTCACAAAGTAGTCCTGAGAGGCATGTGTGGAAATAAAACATTGAAGGCTGTKGAGAGGAGTACCAGYGCTACACATGGATTGAAAMAAATTGTTGATACCTTCGACASTGAAACTGGTGTTACTCCTGAGTCAACAAGTCACACAAGTGCCTCCACAAGAGATGATGTYGTGGAAATGATAACTATTTTGAATGCTATTAAGCCATTTGACTTTCAACCAGGAAGAACACTACKATCRTTCCCAAGCATAACTAAGAGTCCTCTTGATCAGATAGACATTGCACTTCTACATAAATGGCTGTCTAGACATAAACGAAGATTGGCTAAAGATGCTTGGGCAAGTTGTGACGACTGCACTGAAGATGACTATGAAGAAGAAGATAGCATGGATGACGATGAATTAGATGAGATGTTTGAAATCTAACATATTAATAAAATGCAAGAATGTATGAGACAAGGTTATGGCATGTACAATAAGATATTAATGCTTAATTAATTAAAACAACCATTGTAAGGAATTTAAGAACTGATGATGAGAAACTTTAAAAGTTTTTGTAAAGCCCAATTATCGATATATGTTACCTTCTATATGTATTACCTGCATAGAATTTAAAAAGAAAATTTTTTTTCAGCTGGGACTTAACCTTCACTTGACTACTTCAATACTTGATGAAATCTATTGAGGTGAGTAGCATTGATCAAATAGATAGGTTTCTATGAACATACAGTTAATGATCATATTTCAGGGGCTGAAATGTTTTGGTGTTACTAATGACCTTATGTTTCATACTTAGATGAATGTTCATTCCTTGCAGTAATATAAATACTTGACTCTGAAGATGGCTTCTGCTTGGGTTGATTTGCACTATTAGTACATTCACCTAACTGAGCATATTAATCATAAAATAAATATTGCTACTTTGATAAACATTAAAACATCTTAAATTACAATTGCAAGACAAAAATCAAAAGCTGACCTTTTGCAGCACAGAATTTCTAATCATTGTCCRTGAGGCTGAAAGTTCTACTTGTTTTAGTATGTATAGACATACTAATAATGGCAAAATGAAGAAGAAAGAACCCAATTTASGTTGCTGAAAAACAGTCATTTTCTCTACTAATAGTCTACCACAAATTTAATTCTAACAAATTATATTATTTTGTGATCATATTGGAGTAAAATAACCATGGAAACTCTAGGTTTTAAATTTTTTTTTTAAATTGTTTTAAAGTATTTGTTTCAAATTTAGTTAATTTACTCCAACATTTTCTGCAAAATCTTGCTAGCATCAGCTTTCAGAATTTCATAGAAATATATTTGTGATAGACCATTAGTATATTTATACTAAATAATATTAGACATTTACACCTAACACCAACTAGAGAAAACTATTGCTAACCTGTGATGACAGTATCATTRAATATATTTAGATATTATGTTCCAAATGCAAACAGCATGCTCATGGCTAAAGACAGGCATTTGTTTCCCGATATCTTCAGATGATCTCAAATTTGATAGGTTTTCCACCACAGCCTCAATAAGAGTGATACTGAATCCACTTGACAGACTTGTGCTAYCCACACATGATCTTCCTACGCCATGACATGACAGTCTAAACTCCATGAGTTCATCAAAAAGAAGCTTCTCTCTTTCCTTATCAAGCCTAATGTTCACTTCCATTGTTTTATCCACAGGGGGACAACCATCATTCCAAGCACTATCTTCCACTTCAACAGAGTCAAACAAAACTGACACACCAGAAAGTAGGCAGTCATCACAGTTACAAAACATTTGGTGATAATCACAAYATAAATGCTGTGGTTCAGGGGGTGTGACTACTTCAAATCCAAAGTGATTGAGAATCATTTCCCGTTTACATTTCTGAGTGACGACATAGTTCCGCATTTCATCAGTTAGACTTTTCCTAGCCTTAGATAAGTCATAGGAATTGTAGTGCATTWCTGCCCTAGAGGGAAGCCCATCTCTGCCTGCCCGCCCGGCCTCTTGAAAGTACTCTTCTATGGTACAGGGCACACCAATGTGGATAACATTTCTGATATCATTTAAATCTAAGCCAATTCCGAAAGCAWCAGTAGMAAAAATGATTCTCAATTTTGACTTCCCTGCTATCAGGCCATCAACAATTGTTTCACGCTCATGTATGGGGTACTGCGCATGGTACTGAGTAAACATCCTTTTGCACGATCTTGGGTCTGAGCCTAAAGGCTCATATTGCCTGTCCCCCATTTTCTCAGTAAAGTAAACATAACAGGAAGAAATTGTTTCAAGTGTACCAAATATAAGTGTTATAGGACATTGTAATCTTTTTTCAATTAATTCCTCTACTAATGGGTCAAGTATCTTGTCTAGTTTCTCATCCCCCCGATCAGGTCTTCTTGAAACAGCAAAGTATATGTTGCTTCGATCAGGGTTAGCATCAATAATTATTGGCTCTACAAGACCAAGGG